TGTCAGGACACGGGTAAAATAGCTGATATGTTCGCGTCGCATTTCCAAGCAGGTAACTGTGTAAGCGGCGGCCCTGTGCATGACTCACCGCGCTCGGAGCACTGTGTCGGTGAATACCTACCGAGCGCAAACTTCAATATAACGACAGACTGTTTAATTCAGTGTTTAAAAAATATGAAAAAAGGTAAGTCTCCTGGGCATGATGGTCTTAGCGTGGAGCATGTATACTATGGAGGTCAATTGTTACATACTATGCTTACTAAATTTTATAATTTATGTTTGTCACATTGTTATTTGCCTAAGGATTTTATGAGGACAATAGTTGTACCTATTCTTAAACACGGTTCGAGCGATTCGACTAACTTGAAAAACTATAGGCCTATCTCATTGGCCACTAGTTTGTCCAAGATTTTTGAGGCACTCCTGCAACCTGAGTTAATAAAGCATATCAAACTCAACGATGCTCAGTTTGGTTTTCGTACCGGCTTATCTACGGACGCGGCCGTTTTTGCTTTAAAAAACACTGTTAAATATTATCTTTCCAGAAATACCAACATATATGCCTGTTTTCTTGATCTCAGCCGGGCTTTTGATACAATTAATTACAATATACTTTGGTCCAAGCTGGAGGGGGCGGGTGTGCCATGGGATATAGTGGGACTCTTTAAGTACTGGTACCTAAACCAAACTAATACAGTAAAGTGGAGAAACTGTTTTTCTGTGGAATATGTGCTCGGTTGTGGCGTCCGCCAGGGTGGGCTTTCGTCCCCGTTACTTTTTAATTTGTATATTGATGGCTTGTTGGTGGAACTTGGGAGATCCGGTGTCGGCTGCCATATGAGCAATCAGCCTGTAAATAATTTGAGTTATGCGGACGACATGGTTCTCCTGAGTCCCTCCATCAATGGATTGAAAAAATTACTTAATATTTGTGTAAAATATGCTAATGTACACGAATTGACATATAATGTGAACAAGACTGAGCTTATGATATTTGGACAAAACAGGATAAATAACTTTAGCCCAAAAATTTGTCTTAACGGTTCTGTCATAAAACAGGTCAGCAAGTTCAAATATTTAGGTCACATAATAAGAGATGATTTAAGTGATGATGATGATATGGAACGTCAGAAAAGAAGTATTGCTGTTAAAAGTAACATGCTGGCTCGTAGATTTTCTAAATGCAGTAAAGCCGTGAAAGTCACTCTTTTTAGTGCCTACTGTCAGGCGTTTTACACCAGCCAGCTGTGGACAAATTTCACGCAACGCGCCTATCATGCGTTGCGTGTGCAATATAATAACGCTTTCAGAGCAATGATGAACCTGCCATGGCGGTGTAGCGCGTCCGGCATGTTCTTCGACAATAGGGTTGATGATTTTTTTGCAATTATGAGAAAAAGGGCTGCCGCTTTCAAAGACAGAATCAGAAATACCAATAATAAAATCTTACTATCAATCTATGACTCATGTAAAATGATTATATGTGATTTATGAGCGATTCTATAGAATGTATTAATTTAATGTTTTATTTATGTTGTTTTTAATTTGATTTTTAATTTTTTTAATATGATCTTTAATTAATCTTCGCGGCATTTAGATATGACGATGATTTAATGTATTTTAGATAATTGTAATGAATTCACTTATTATTATTATTTTTATTTGTTTATATTTTTGATTTTAAAATTTATTGCATGTTTTAATTTTCAATTTTATTTATTTGTATAAACTAAATTTTGATTTGTGTATATGAGTGTTAATGCTTGTAATAAATGGAATTATTATATATTATATTATTATAAATATTAACGAAAAGTAATAATAGAGAATCGTATATTAAAGAAGGTTTAAACCTTCTATTAATGAACGAAATACAGTTTTATACAATACACGCGTTCACTCCGTTCAAACAGTACAATAGGACGTGGGGTACCGGAAGGCAGTCTCATTCATTATAAAATCAGATCAGGTGATGCTATTCAACTTTAAAAATGAATCAATACCCTATCAGTGATATAAATAAATATTTGAAATAACGAATATAGTGATTATGGATGATTTAGAACACGGATAATTAGTATACTTTATGTTCTACTCGGGAGATGGCGATGCCATACAACCTAGGTATACAGAGGATGCAAATTCATAAACAAACGCATTCAGAATAAAATAATACAAGAATGTATTGAATTTGATTATTCTCATACTATTTTTGTTGCCAGTCGAATCGAATGTGGGAATAAATTTTATCTACGCAACAAATAACAATTCAGTATTTACGAATATTATAAATACTATTTTTGAGGTCAAAAGAAACGCATTGCTGATTTTAACTCGGCATATTTAAAAAAGCCTTTTTGTTCTTGACTGAATAACCGAGTAAATATTGCAGACAAGAAATAGCAGGCTTTTTTAAACGACTGCACAAAAAAGAAATGTGTTAAGGATTAATTTATGTTCGTATGAATTTACGTTTGTAAGTTTCTTTATTCCTCCAAAACTTTTAAATAACTTGATGAATAGGATATCATTAGAAACTCTACGTCATCCCGAGAGACACGACTGTATATATTAAAAAAAATACTCAACATGTATGACGCCATTAAAAAAAAAACAAGTTTTTTTCAAACAAGTTAAAGGACTCGAATTTTAAAAATCTGTGATCAGATGTTCAGTTTTTGTTTCAAATAATAAAAATATAAACAGTTCAGAGAAATATTTATAGAAATCAATATTTTGACTGTTGCCTCTCAATACATCTATGAAAACGATTACGATTCCTTCACAAAAAAGTAGCGTTCATAATCTTAACACAAGAAATAAAAATAAACTTGCCGGTCCAAGCTTCAGACTTCAAAAAACCAGAGGATCATTTCTGGGTATATGCATTGCTATGTTCAGTAAAGTTCCACAAAATGTAATTCATTATAAATTAAAATTCATGTAAAGAACATACTTATAAGTAAAGGTTATAATAAAGTTGATGATTATTTTAAGGACCGTAATGCATGGAATTAATAGCCTTCGCTTTATTCTATAACGAATAATTATATGTGTTATGGCTAAAGGTGGGTGTGAACATAAATTTAAGATTAACCGGCTAAACTTAAACAGCTAAAGTTCGATATCATATTAGTTTGCGTCGTGATATTCAATCTTTAGCCGGTTAAAGTGTACATTAACCGAAACAAAACGGCTAAAAATGTATTCACATTTTGTCAAGAATTATTGCACCCTTTGTGAAGAACATGACATTTTAATTGACTGCATGACATGCCCTCTTTGTTCAAAAGAAACAGATATTTAACATAATCGTTCAGAAGCGAAATTAAATTTAGAGTACCAAGCCATTAAAATGAAACAAAATTCGGCTGCAAAGTTTCCAGAATATCATATAGGCGATACAGTAAGAGTAAAGTACCGGAAGTAAACCGAGGCCGAGGCGATTTTAGGAACATTTTATTGATAGTCTTAGATAAAAATGAAAACGGACTTCATAAACTGGGCAACGAAAACGGTACGATCGAACAGTTTTTATCACGAAATCAGTTTACAGTGGAACAAAAATTCGTAGAATTGAAAAAAGTGTCGTCAATGAAAATGACTCTTCGCCAGCTTGCTAATGAACATTCAAAATCAGGTGGACAAGGCTTTCAAAGATGTCATTGCAAGACAAAATGTGGTACACGCATTTGCGTGTACAGAAAAATGATGAACATATGGTTCCTTATTATTTTATTTTAATGATCTACCTAGATATTGTTTTAAGTAATTATTATTTTGTAATTGTAATAATTGCAATTTTGATTACCTACATAGGTACATAAAAGTATGAGAGTGATTATTTTTTAATAAAAGTTTTCATGACAAAATAGTAAACATTATTACATTGTTTTCTTTTCTATTTCCTTCTACATTTTTAGCCAAGGGCCTGCAGTTACACTTGAGTTTAGCCGGCTAAAGATAGAAGAAACTAACTATAGGCGACTGGCTGAAAAGCGCCACTCTTTTATATTAGTTTGTCATATTTTTATATTGTTCTTTTACTACTACTCTTTCGTTGCGTACTGTAATTTATTATTGACATTTTTTATTTTATCATATAAAAAAAGACAGCTTTACTGAGGAGATCAAGAGCCTTCAAACTTCGCGGACCGTGCCCAAAAATAGTAGGGTTGCGTCACTTGCAACGATCTTAGACGACGATGACCTCCTCAAGCTCGACACACGCATAAAATCTACATCAGCAGTTGATGGTGATATAAAGTCTCCTCTAATTCTCGATGGCCGCCACCAGATTGTCCGACTTTTAATACTTTCATACCACGTAAAACTAGCGCACAGTTTCAACGAAACGGTATTTAATGAAATTCGTCGGAGATTTTGGATCCTGAAAGCCAGAAGCACCATCAAAAATGTCATAGCAACCTCTTGCATGCAATGTCGCAGATTCAAAAGCCGATTAAGTACACCTCAAACTGGAGATTTGCCGATAGAAAGACTAGACCATCACAAGAGGCCATTCACGTACACGGGACTCGACTATTTTGGACCACTCGTCGTAACCGTCAGACGTCGTCATGAGAAACGATATGTGGCTTTATACACTTGCCTAGTTACCAGAGCCATACACCTAGAAATTGTTTCATCTCTCTCTTCAGACGCCCCACTCGTGAGCCTCCGACGATTTATTACGCGCAGAGGGTCGCCAGCACAGCTATTCTCCGATAATGACACTAATTTCGTGGAAGCCAGCCGAGAATTAAGATCCCTATTTGACGGCTTGATAATGGAGTTTGCTGCCGACCACAAAATTATCTTGCGCTTTATTCCACCTGCTTCCCCCTTTATGGGTGGATCCTGGGAATGACTAGTGCATACAGTCAAAAACGCACTCCAGGCCTGCCTGAAAGATAAACGTCACCCCAGGGAAGACATATTTGTAACACTGCTTGCGGAAGCCGAGGCCATCGTGAACTGTAGACCTCTTACGTACGTACCTACCTCACCTGAAGCACCAGAATCATTAACACCCTTCCACTTCTTGATCGAAATATCGTAAGTCGCGCCATGGACTACTAACCTCAGCGATCCAGATCTGCTGCGGGCATGTGAGTGGCGCAAAGTTCTGCGACTGGCTGACAATTTTTTGGGCACGGTGGATAAAGGAATATTTACCCACACTTTGCCCAAGAGGACGCCGTAAGGACTCTATAAAATTCAAAGAGGGGGATGTGGTTATTGTAGCCAACCCTTCTGCGAGGCTTGTGGCCTTTAGGTAGCGTCACAAAAGTGTTCACTGGCCCAGATGGTCGAGTACGCGTGGTGGACCTCCTCACAAAGGAGGTACACAACGCCGCCCGGCTCGTAAATTAGTTCTGATAGTGCCCCAGTTAGTCGCCATCTAGAGTTAGTGTTCCACTGGGGGCGGGAATGTAGGCGACTGGCTGGAAAGCGCCACCCTTTTATATTAGTTTGTCATATTTTTATATTGTTCTTAAACTACTACTCTTTGTTTATGCGTTTGTTGGATATAATTGTCATTTCGTTGCTTACTGTAATTTATTATTATCATTATTATATTTTATCATATATTACCATTAGTTCTTATTTGCAGTCCTCATCCCCACTAGCTATCACTAACATTGACACATCCTCGAAGATAAACCTAAGTTTAGCCGGCTAATCTTAAGTTTATGTTCACACCCACCGTTAGCCGTAACGTTGTTGTATTTACTATTGTTGTAATACGTACTATTTTGGTAATGACATTATATAAGTAAATGTCATTACTTATGATAAAGAGATGGTAAGTTTCTTTCGTTTATTCTTCTTGTCAGCTAAAAGACGTCCTGAACGAGTGGTAGGGGAATAATATTTTTTGGACGATTCAAAAGTGCTTGAAATTCAAAAGCTTATTTGAATAAAGACATTTTAATTTCATTTCATTTATATTATACAAATGAGTTGTCGCTGTATTTGAAATTCTAATAATATGTGTATCACTATTCTCGATTTGTGTAAATAACAAAAAAAAAAGTTTTTTAAATACCTTTATCAACTTTGTTCCACCGCTAGCAACGTTAATAACTCTCATTTTCTCAGGATCCGGGGCGGGTAATCATACTGTGCCTGAATGCTTCGGTTTTGCTCGCATTGTCTAGAGGCTATAAATTTGCAGGCGTATGCGAAGTACATTGTAGTAATTACTGGCACTTGTACTGGCCTATCTCTGACATAGGAACAGCAATATTGTTGCATAAACTTGACTAAATTTTAGTTTTAATCCTGTGACACTCCGTTTTCAATTCTGTAAATAACTACGAATGTCGACTTATTATAAATATACATTATATTTCTCTTATTATATTAATGACTACGGAATAACGTTAAAACAAACCCAAATCATTATTTTTGAAATTAATTTAGTAATTTTGTATCAGAGAAAAAAAAACTTGGAATATTTCAATCTAGATTCGGTCATACATAGATAACAGCTTAAACGTCTTATTTTATGTTTCGGCTGTAGTCACTTCTGTGAAAAAATTGTTTAATTTTTAAAATGCATGTTGTACTTACATCTAGAAGGTTACAATCCAGTTTCTTTTTTGTGAAAGTTGTATTGTTTATATTTTTGATTGTAATCAGTTTTGTAAGTCGAAATTAAAAAAAAAAAAAAAAAAAAAAAAAAAAAACGTCGGATAAAAAGTTTATTTTAATTGCTCCCTGATCCATATAGAAAAAAATCACTCAAGGTCATATGATTCAAGTTTAAAAGATACTCAGAAGCTTGGATCACATTAAAACGCCAATAATTAGATTTAGAATAACCTAAATTGTATTTAATTAATTTAATTTTAATAACGGACTCTACGTAAAAGTCTTTCAAAAGTTTGAAATAATACTCTTTTAATCAGTTTCTGATTTTAAAAGTTCTTTAAAAAACTTGAAATAATAATTTATATAGAATAATAACCTATAAGTTTCTGCCATCTGATATTAACAAAACAATTTTTTTTTCCACTTTATTAGGATCACCAGAAGTTATAAGTACAAAATCTACAATTTTTTTTTGGTTGTTGCACAACTACCAATGTAATGTAAATTCAGTATGCATTAAGTTACAAACAAAATTAGAAAAAAATATAACTACCAAAAATAAATTAGGAAGAATATTTGTTTTTTGTTATTTGGTAGCCGTCTGTTGTGCAGTGTGTGCTCTAGCGTTGTCGTGAAATAGCAGTGGCGTAGAGCGATTGACCAGCTCGGTTGTTTAACAGCAAGTTTTTCCAGCATGCTTTGCAATTGCTGACAATAGACGTATGCCGTAATCGTCTGGCCTGATTTGAGAAAACTGTAATGAATGACACCGGTACTAGTCCACACAAACGCTTACAAGTAAATTTTTTAGAGTCAATTTTCGCTTGGGGCAGGATTTGGCTTGCATGCCATGGTCCAACCATTGCGATAAGCGCTTCCGATTATCGTAGAATATCCACTTTTCATCACAAGTAATGATTCGATTTAAAAACCCTTCATTATTGTGCCGGTTCGCTTTATCAAATTTGTGAGGTACCCACCTTTCAAGCTTTTTAATCTTTCCAATTTGCTTCAAGTGGCCTAAAACAGTTTTATTAATAACAACGCAGCCTACAGCTATTTCGGACGCAGTTTGCGATGGATCCGCTTCCACAATAGCCTTCAATTCTTCATTATTAACTTGGGTCTCCGGCCGTCCACGAAGCTTGTTCTGCCGGTCGAAATTTCCAGAACGAAAATGTTGGAACCAAAAACGCACTGTGTTTTCTTTTGCGCCATAACCGCCATACGCATCATTAACCCTTCGAGCCGTTTCCGCAGCACTGGTACCACGATGAAACTCGTACTCGTAAATAACACGATATTTCCATTTTTTAAACTGGGTGACGTAAATAGGACAAATAGAAGAAAAAAAAAACAAATGAATGCCGTCTAATGAAACATAAATACATGTGTAAATGACTTTATGAATTAGAATTTGGAATTCCCAACCAAGGAGGAGAAATTTGTGATTAAAGTGGTCAATACGACAAAATGCCAATTTCATATGTTAGGACCTAATATTAAAATTGTGTTTATTATTTCCTATTTATTAATTATTATTTATCTTATTTTGTATATTTTTACAGGTTTGACTTTAATCCTACTTCTGCTTTAACAATAATTCGTGTAAAGATATCTAGAATATATAGGTATTTTGCAAACAATGCAATACCTAGAACTATGCAACATGTGTGCGGAAAGCGCAGCGGGCGGATATTGGCTGAAGCTATTTTCCGTTAGTAGACGTTATCTTCACAATGTAGTTCTATGCAACTTTAAAGTGCATTTATTATTAACTAACACTTTTATAATCAGTAAACTTTAAATGAAGTAAATAAAATAATTCAATTATTTACAATATTAGTTCTGTATGACGTATAGTGAAATAAACATAATTATTATGTTAATATATGCAGTACACATATACAGAGAGATGATCACTATTTAAATAATTAGACATTAAAAAGCATATAAGTGAAAAACTAACGGCACAAAGGGATTACTAAGAAAGAAGACTCTTCATAAAATACGATATTTTATAGAAATAAATATGTTAAAATAAATATAAAAGACATCACATAAATGACTCAGATTTTAAATTGAGTAGCTTTGGTCACAACTATTATGTAAATTTGAAAAAAAAACGGTATTTGTTCATTTTAGAAACGCTTATATGACTCAAAGAAACCCATCGTCAATAATTTATGATGCAACGGATGTAGGACCTGATACTGCTGCTGGAGTACAGAGGATGTAACTTCAACAATATTATATGAACGATTAGAAATTATATGAGTTTTCGTTTGTTAGCAAACTGATTAGACCCTCAGACCTCGATAGAAAGGTTTATTTTTCTACATTGACCCGACAGGGAATTGAAACCTAGGCCTCAGAGAAAGTACGATAAAACATGTGTACGAGCCATCCCTGAGAGTCAATTCCGTTTCCTAATTTCTAACTTGAGATCCCATTGGAGAAATTATAATGCTCTGAAGCAGGACTATGATTTTCTTTTATTATTATTTTATACTTCATGCACAGATGAGACTGAAATAACTTTCAATCCAGTGTTCGTGTCACGGTCTCAAGACTATTTTCTCCGTTCATGAAGTCTAGGTAGTGGAAAATGCAGTTCTATTTTATTTTCAAATGGTGCCACGTGGATTCGTTCATGTCGTAGAAGCGGATATCGACAGGTGTCCTTTACGAACTATTTCATATTATTAGCCTTTAAATACAGAGCCTTGAAATTCCCACTACTTCCCTGTTTGAATAATGATTTGGGATCTCGATAGCGCAATGGTTAACGCGCTCGGTCCACGATACGGTTGTTACTCATCTTTCGCAATGACCAGTTACAGGATGAATTACCAAAAAATTTAATATCTCCAGCTCCTCCATGCTTCGGAAGGCACGATAAGCCGTTGGTCCCAGTTGTATCTGTAGTCGTTAATAACCACTAATCAGTACTGGTATCCGTACCGCGGGATGGGTCACGGCCCATTATCTATTCGATTTCAACCACGGGAAAGGCCTGAGCCCCAGCAATTGGGATTTTAATAGGTTGGTTATATGAAATAATGATTTGATAGTTTTCACATATTTTTAATTGAAGGGGCTATTTACATTATGCTCATTTGATTTTAATTGAAATTCTTTGTGTAGATAAGAGATCGCTGATTAGAAATTACACTTTTCTAAATTAGAAATTGATATTTCTAACATGTTTGCAATGTAACTGCAATGGTCTAAGCTACCATCTGAATATCAATAAATTCTATCAGGCTATCTTTATCACCATCCAATTAATATCCCCACTCCTAGGACAAATACTTTCTCTATGTATAAAATCGAATCTAATCTTCCACCAAACGAGCCCCGTGCGGATTGATTAAAGCTGATGGGTTAGCCATAACTAATCA